CCCCCCCCCCCCAGAAAAAGAAAAAAATCCAAAAAATCTGAAAAAAAAATGTTATGCAGAAGAATAAACTGAACAACATTTGCCTCAACGTTACATCCAAATTCTTTACCAAAATAGAAATAAAAATCAAATACGAAAAATAAATAATAATAATAATGAAAATTAGGAAACATAAGACGAGAGTGAAATTATTGAGTGGGCGAGCATGTTTTTGACACTGGCCATCTTCACCGATTTTTCATTTTTTTTTGGCTTTGACAAATGCCATGAAAATTTGCATATGTGTATCTTACATAATAGAGAACCTACAAATAAGCTTTGAAAAAATAATAATTGTTTTCATGCCCCGAAATAAAGGGAAAACAAAAAGTGAAAAGAGAGATAAAACAAATTAGTGACTGGGCAAGCAAGTTTTGACACCACCATCTTTGCCGATTTTTCATTATTGTTTGGCTTAACAGAATGCCTTCAAAATTAAAAGGAAGATACCTTACATTACAAAGAGAACTCAAAAAAAAAATCGGAAAAAAAAAAAGGTGCCAAAATATTTTCTTGCGGGTTCTGAACCCCTTCGGGTTCGGACCCTGTATGGGGACCCGAACACCCGAACGTTCGGGGGTCAGCTTAGGGGCCTCCTCACATTCGGCCTGGCAACCCTGAGTCTATATATATTTATAATTTTATATTTATATAAACAGTTCGCCACAGCCCCTCGTTTGTTGTCCGCTTCTCTGACTCTCTGTGCCTACGGTTTACCGGGCAGCTCTGTTTGACTATATGTATATATGAGTCGGTGAAACTCCGACGAAACAGTTTGTCACAGCCCCTCGTTTGTTGTCCTCTTCTCTCTCTCTGCCTACGGTTTACCGGGCAGTTCTGTTTGTGATGATATATAATACGTAAGAGGTTATGAACAGGTGGAGCTTTCCTTACCTCTTTCCCCTTCCCCTTTTTTCCTGTTCCTTTTTTCTTTCCCCTTTTTTGCGCTCTGATTCACGATGTGACAATATATTGTGGTATTTAAGAAAACGTTAGAGAAAGGACAAGGGAAGAGGAAGGCGTATTAGTCAAACAAACTAAATGACACATCCCATTTTTTATGTATCTTTCCCCGTTGTTGGGGTATTTTGTTTTGTTGTGGTAATCTTGTCTGCATCCCGGTTGGTTTTGTCCCGTTCGTTATTCGGTCTAAGCAGGTAGCGGTGCTTCATGTGGGACCAGTCATCCGTTTTTTTTTTTATTGTCTTGGCATCCTGGTTGGTTGTTTCCCGTTGTTCGGCCTTTTGAGCGCCAGGCGGTGCTTGTATGTGGGAATCGTCATCCGGGATGGGTTCTTTTTGGTATTTTTTTATTTCTTTGCAGTGGTTGGTCTTGTCCCGTCGTTTGGCCTGTGGGTAGGGGCGGTGCTTGCATGTGGGACTTGTCATCTGGGATCTGTTTTGTTGCCCCCTGTTCTGGTTTATTTGGCTGTTCCCTTCCTCTCTTCTTTGCCTCTTTGCCTTTTGGCTGTGTGCAAGTGGGTCGATATGACACACGGGGTTGGGGGCAGCCGCCGCTCAAYCTACATCCACGTTGGCGGCCTTGTACGCAAGAGGTTCTCAACAGGGGGAGTCTTGTAAGGAAGAAGATTAAAAATGAATTAAGTTTTTCTTGGTTTCCTTGTTTTCTTTCTGTTTTTCGCTTTGGCGCTCTGATATCATGTGACAATATGTATATAAAATGTTCCCTATCTGAATATAAAAAAATGTGCCCAGTCAGCCTTTTCCATCTTCCATAGATGACCATCCCTCGCTCAGTCATTGAGGAAACGACGGAAACGTTGTCCCATCTCAAATGGCCGCCCCCGTACAATCGATGGACTCAAATTGCGTAAAATGCCCCTGTACCATTAACCCATACCCGAATTGCTCACGACTGTCTAGGGTTTTCACCCGATTAGAACGCACTGTCATTTGGCTGCTTTTGGACTCTGTCAGTCAAGATGCCGCGACAATTGCTGTGCGTTCTATTCGGGCGAAGACGACAGACAGACATATGGAATGCTTTTGCATACGGGGGCGTATGAGTATTATGGGTCTCTGTAATTTCACCTGTAATTGCACATCATGTGGCAGATCCGAGCAGAGGTATAAACGGTGAGCCTGCAGATAGGCCTGGCTGTTGAGACGCAAACAGACGGATCCAGGAGTACTAATCCTCTCTCTCTCTTCTCTCTCTCACACACGCTCATGCACACTCTCTCGCAGATGCACATGCGCACGTGAAATGTGTGCGTGGGTTTGCTCCGCGCATGCATGCGTGTATTGAGACGCAGAGAGAGAGAGAGAGAGAGAGAGAGAGAGAGAGAGAGAGAGAGAGAGAGAGAGAGAGAGAGAGAGAGAGAG